GGAAGTGACACCAGTAGATCCTTGTAATGGCAGTGACAGTGTGCAGACCCACCCTGCAAAGCCAAACTCCAAAGTGGAGAAAAAGAAAGTGGCATTGTTAGTAAGTCGGTAAAATCAGGGGATGAGTTTTATTCTGTATTGACTCATTCTTTCATTGGACAGTGAACTTGCCTTGTATCTAATAGGAAGGTTTGAGAGATCAGGTTTGCTTCCTCTGCACTGAACCTTTGTTTTTCATCTATGCTTGGGTTAAACCTGATTCAAGACCTAATTCTCTAGTGTAATCCATGCAGATATGCACCATGCTGTCTTCAAATAATTTCCTATGGTAGTGGGACTGTACATCATAAAGGGCCCAAGATGCAGGACTGTCTTAATGGTTTAGGAAGAAATAACGTCACCATCGTGCTGCATAGACAAGCCAGCAGCCACAACAAAAAGCCCTTTTGGAAGTAGATATGCCATGATTTGTGTTTCTTTGTGTTCCCCTTCACAATATTGCTGCAGATTTGTTAATGCCAGAAGAGTTGATAATGAGGTAAAATTTCAGGTTTAAGCAGTTCTCTAGCTTTTATGATTCAAGATGAGATCCATCTGAAGGCTCTCACCCTGTGCATCAGCCCACAGTGGGGTGTCTGTCTCCTTCAGAAGCTTCAGACTGGTACATGTGAGAGAGAAAAAGGAAAAAGTACTGAACGTGGCTCTCTGGGATTTGGATTCAATGTGGCAAATACTTAGTTCACCATCCAGAATTCGGATGGTAGTCTACAAAAGGAAGCTGCTTTCTAAATGCTAGAGAGGGCAGGCATTACCAATATGGAAAATTACTTGGTTTTACCTCTTCACATTTGTTTTCCTGTCTGTATCCAAGTGCTAATTTTCTTTTTGTCCTCAGAGGGCAAAGCAAAGTGTGAGGGGCAAAAGGATGAATTCATTTTCTAGGGCATATAGTTTATTTTCTAAACACTTGAACAGTGCTGCTTCAGCCTTGACTTCCTATGCATGTCCAAACTTTTCTGCCCAATATAGTCAACAAACACAAACTGGCCGCCAGACTTCCATGCATTATTTGTATTGTCCCAAAACTGGGAACAGCAGCGTTCCAAGTGTGGTATGCCAGACCCTATCTCTGATTAGGGGATCTCTGTCCATAGGATCTCAGAGGGAACTGAAGTTGCTTCCCACTGGAGAGGCAGTCAGCAGCTCTTGTGTGGAAAAGCAGAGTGTGGCTTCTCTTGAATTTAAAACTCAGAAGGATCCCTGAAGTTCTGTTTTGCACAGATGTGCCTTGAGAGGCTGCAGCTGCTGGCCATGCTGCCTGCCATTTACCTGCCTGGCTCCTGGCTGAGATCACCTACCTGCAGATAGCTGTCCCTTCACCAGAATAGCAGCACTTTGAAGAGCAGTGCCAAATTCCTCGTGTGGGTGCAGCTCACCAGTAGTACTGGCTGTTCAGCTCCTTCCTGGTGGTGAAAAATACAGACGCTAATAGGCTGGGGAGAAGATAGCTAAAGCTTTGCAGAGAAGTTTTTCACTCTGTGGGGAGCAAATTACATTTAGCTGCAACAATCTCCCCCTGAATCTGCTGAATTAATCTCAGCCTGTGCACCTGAATTTAATTCTCATTAAAAATATTTCTCTGTGTGAGGTTTTAGAAATAGGGTGATGAGGAGAAGTCTGAAGAGATATTCTTGTGCAGAAATGGTTAAGATTAACATAGCTGAGTTACTTGGGTATACTTAAGGTAAGCTATTTTTAAGCTGAAACTTCTTGAGAGAGGGCATGAAGAACACAACAGGGTGGAAAAGCAGCAAAGCAGGTTTTGTTTCTCCTTAATCCTGCCCAGTTGTGTTGATGCAGGTTGTCCCCTCTTACCTGATGCCTTGCCTTCCATCCTCTGGGGCTGGTTGTATCTCTTGGTAGATGTA